TGCCTAGTAAAACTATCTCTGCTTTTTATTAAGAAAAATCCTATCCTGTATAGCTTTCAATTAGTTTACATGAAATCTGCGTGGTGAGCAGGGAGGGAAGGAGGGAGATGCCAACAATGCATATGGTTGTGCTATGGTTGGTGTTTATTGGGCATGGATCTTGTTACCTTCTGGTGAGATATGCATGAAGTTGCACTTTAGTGGACATGTCTGCAGAGAGCTGTGATCTAACTCAGACTACGGAGTTGGTATGAGTTGCTATATAAAACTATCTGCTGTTTTCTCTGCACGATGAATTTCTGAAAAAAAAGCTATCTTGTGGGAACAGTTAACACACTGAAAGCCTTTCCAGCGTGATTAGCCAAATGTTAATTAACAAAAACTTAGGTAGAGTTGATATGAGCCCTTATTACAGTGCTTTTGATTTTTGACCATCCTTTTGGAAGTCAGTTATTATATTTAAAATTTTATTTTTTGCTAGAGAAATTGTTAGGTTCATTATAGAGGAACAGGACAGACTTTACTATCTTTTAAACATGATCTTTTCTAATCTCAGCTGTAACCATAACTTTGGATTGAAGTGGAAAAGAAAACTATCAATTTGGAAAGTTATTCTTCATCAGGTTAAAATGGAATTAAAATGAAAGCATTCCTCTTATTACCTTGTAGGCATGAATCCAATCAAATAAATCATTGTATTGTGAGCTGCCTCAGATGACAGTAGAGCAAATAGCCCTATACAGCAGATCTGCTGTTTGCAAGCTAATTTAAAAATGGATCTGTGTTAGCTAGCACTGGGTATACAGATTGCATTAGGCAGCACAAGAGCCTGTTCTGGTGTATATTTTAGGTGGTACTTGTACATAGTCATTAAAATGCAGTAGTTGATATAAAGATAGACCAGAAGAAAGAGAAGAATATTGGCAGATGGAGGTGACAGATTGTTGTTTCATACAAAGAAGAGGAATAGCATATGAAGTAATAGGGCTACAGAGAATCACAGTAGTTAAGCTGGCCAAATAGACCTATTGGTACTGCGTCAAATTGTCAACTTAACATAAGACTGTATTAGGAAGAAATGTTTGTATTAATACAGCTTTTCTAATTATTGATGACACAACTGTATTCTAATGTCTATATACAAGTACCACCTAAAATCATCTGTATGAAAGCTGACAGTACTGTTAGGAAGAAGTTCTATGACAGTAAGAGTGTAATAATTCTACCAAATTTTTCAGAGGTTATTTGCAGTTAGAATAAAACAGCAGTAAAACAAAAAGGGTAGGATATCCTATCCTGCAGTAAGTACCACATGCTGGTGAGAGGGAGGAGGAGAAGGAGCCTTCTGTGGGATCCCGGTGTCTCACTGGGTCGATGCAGTGATTGCTGCCTGGTGGCATGGAGGCACTGTTATTGTCCTGCAGAGAGCTCCCTTGGAAAAGAGAGAATGGATTGTTAAAGCAGAAGGAATTCCAAGTTCATTGTTGGTACTCTGTTTTCCCAGGTTGTTTTAAAACCAATACGGAGCAATACGTCTGCTGTGTTTAGGAGGCTCATTGGTGATTGTAGCAGAAAATGAAAATATGTTGCCTTGTAGTTGTAAGTCTACTTGCTGATCTAGGTCATTTTAATTTGTGTGTTTAAACAAGACTGTAGGACCAAAAGTGCAGCAAGGGATGTTTTTGTTCAGCTGATGAATACAAAAGTGATGCTAAAATGAGAGGCTTCTAATGGCAAATATGGGAATTTATACAGGAGATAAAGGAATGGGTGAACCTCCTTTGGGTCTGCATGCTAACACTGTAGATTGGACTTGTTTAATGTTGGTATCTTGAAGGAAATGTGATTTCAGGGTTTTATCATGCAATCATAGAAGTTATTTTGGATTAGTTCTGTTTATACTGTGTCAATAGTATGTTCTCAAAAGAACTAATAAGTAAACCTTTAAAATGACAAGTGGTTACCTATCCATGAGAATGTGGGGAGGGCTGGAGGCAACTGCCTACAAATGGGAAATGGCAAATCTTCCATGGGATTTTGCAGTGATGTTTTAGAGACTGAAATTATCAGAAACAGAACTCATTGATTTAATCATTTGTCTTGTGTCAGTTCTGAAGCATCTCTCCTCAATTTCTAACTTTAAATCACCTTTTGAAGACATAAAAGCAAGCATCTCTGATACTGCCAACAGTGATGTGATGAAGGTGATCACTTCTCCCAACTATTTACATTTATTTCTTATGATGTCTTCAGGTGTTATGACTTAAATCAGTTCTATTTCGAGTGCAAACTTGTGTTGAAGGCTGACTGAAACATCTATATTTTTTAAGTTTTTAGTGGTTCTCTTTCTTACAAAAGAAAAGTTGAAACTGAACTGATACAATCCAGAGGAGAAAATAAATGAAAGTATTGCTTTAGTACGTGACTAAAGATACAAAATGCCACATGCAGATGTTACCATGTGCCAGCAGAAGGTGGATTTGTTTTGGGTAAAATTAGTATGCTGACAGAGGCTGGTAAGCCTGAGCTTTATCTGTTATCAGACTGACTGGGCATCAGTCAGTATGACCTAGTAGAACCAAAATGCTGGGTCATGAAAACTCCTGAATTTTACAGCTTGGAGGACAGTCCAAACCTCATGTCTGCTTCTGTAACTGGTTGGATAAGAGTCTATCTCTGAACACCCTGAGAAAGGGCTGAAATCAAACTTCACATACCGAACATATGTCTTTAACATCTGGGATATTCTTGTTGGAAGAAAGCAATATGTGGTAACTTAATTACAAGTCTGCAGTTGAATGTTTTGTCATCTGTTTTGTCTGTTCCATACCTTCATCTGTAAGGCAGTGGAGTGCCAGCATAGTTACTATCTGACAAACCTATAGCACTTCTCATTTGCTGTCAAGGTGACTGGACTTTTGCATTTCCACTGCACCTTCGAAAAGAAACTCAAAGCAGTTGAGCTCCTAAGCAGTCTTGTGCATTGGGTGAGTATTAACCTTCACTGCAAATGAGGAAGCTCAGATTCCAGAGAGAACTTTGTTGTTGTTTTGATATTTTTGAACCTTGGAAGTCAGAGTAGGACACCCTTCTGGACAGAATCTTGCTGGGATAGCCAGGAGTGAGCTCTGTTCAAAATATTTTATTGCAGCTAAATACAGACAGATTCATTCATGTCTTTACTAGTTTATTCTTTGGAGAAGGAGATGCTACTGATGGGAATGCAAAATTGGTCTAGGGATAAAAAAAAAGAAAAAAGGGGGTGGGGGAGGGAAGAGAGATCTGGTGCATCTTCGTGCTAATCTCCTCATTTTGCTTCTACCAAAAACCTTAGGTATTCCCAAAGCAGGGAGCAGCGATTTCATCAGTGTGATCAGTTTCCCTACCCAATGTGAGACTTTATCATCCGAGGCGCAGTGATAACGTACTAGCCTGGTTCTGTGACTTGTGTGGAGCAGCTTGTGTGAATATCATTTGTTTCTTGTCAGAAAATGTTACTCTTCCATGTTGGAACTGCTTTTATCATGGTCCATCAATGTTTTTGACAACATTGTCCATCTCCTTTTAGAATTGTTAAGGTCTTCTTTCCCAGTGGCATGAAGGTGCCACCATTGCACTTGTGAGGTGTTAGCAGGGTATGTCCCATGATGGCTGTCTGCCTAATGACTGAATTTGGTTGCCACTTTGTTTCCAAACGCTCAGATACTTTATAGGAGTTACCATCAGTTGCCATCTTTAAACAGAAAATCCAGCTCATCTTGGCCTTGCAATTGCTGACACAACGTTGGCAATAGAATCAGAACAGGTTGACCTTATGGGGTTTCTTTTTTTTAAAAAGGATTAGCAACTAATGCCTTTCTCGAAAGGGCTAACTTCTTTTGCATAACCATGCCGCTTGATCTTATAAGAGTGTGATCTCATAGGACTTTGCTCTAAGCCTCAGGGATTCAGAACAACCAAAATCAATCTTCTGAAGCATTTGTCAAGATGCCAGGCAAAAGACAGGGCAGGATGGAAATGTATGAGCCATGCACACATTCTCTATTAAATAGTCAGTTTGGATTCTTTTGACTCTAAATGAGGATTTTCAGTTTAAAGGTTATTTCATCCATGTGTTCACAATGCAGGAGTTAGGAAATAATGATCTAAATTGTATGATTTCATAGAGGAATCCTGTGTCTTAAGAAATTTGATTAGGTGCTTTTATCATGGATGACTTACTGTGCTAAACCTTGTTTAATGCTTCCGAGCAAAAACATCTACAATGCTAAGTGTACTGTGTGTTGCTTAAAGATTGTCTAAGCTTTACTTCAGATGCAATGCCTTGTATCATTTTGCAACTCCATCTGCATTAATTTGAAACATGCAAATTGTCTATGATGTAGGATATCTTTTTGTGTTGTAAAGCTTTTTCTCATGTTTTGACGCGGCATCACTTAAACTTGCACTGCGCATTTCAGAATATTGCTTAAAACTTGGGTGAAGATTAGATTCTTTCAAATTTGTAAGTGATGTAGTGCAATGTGAGTATAATTGCTGGGCCTGAAGAAAGCTTATGTCCTTACTCATCTCACTGTACCTCCTCATGCTTAAGCACTGTGTTTGAAATGCCATTAATAAAGAAACAGCTTGACTGGTGCAGAGTAACATGCAAGTCTGAAGTTCCATTTCCATTCAAATTTTAACCCTGAATGTTTATCTTTTGCCTCTGTTCCATACAGCAAGGCAAAAATTAAGTCTTAAATTGGCATTTTACATTTGTGTTGGGACAAAACTTTGATTCTTCATTGCAACAGTTCATCCCTATCATTATCGATGTCTGTATTTAAACTAGACTATTTCCCTCTTCATTTCCTGGGATTCAAAATTGACAGCTGTATTTCAAATTTCATTCAAACTTAACAGGATTTTCAATTATACTTATTAGCACCTCCTTTTCCCTAAGAAGCCCCTTTCTAAACACTTGGTGTTTTGACTTTGTGTTTTTCCTTGTGTCGTAGGTCTTTAAATACTCTGCACCAGTTTTGCTGTCCAGCTCCATTGTACCATACCCAGCTAGCAGTCCCTGCCACACACTCAGAGTACAGGTAAGAGTAGATATGATCCACCCACTTGCTTCTTTGGAGGAGAGATCTGATTTTACGATTTGACAAAAGGAGAGGAATAGCAGTTTAAGTTTTAAAACATAAAATGAATAAATTAAAAACTGAGTACTAAGAAAATATCTCAAACAAATTTTTAACATCCCAAGGGGTAGGGCTATTTGCTTATTTTAGGCACTATTTAATTAGACAGTAAAATGGGTTTTATGTGCTTTAAGAGGCACATCTCCCCAGACTATTTGAAAGATACAGACTCTTTGAAAGATAGGAAGAAGTTAATTATAGGTTTCGTTCTCACAAAATGAACATCTGAAGGCATTGAAATTTTCACATAGTTTGTGTAGGCTAAAGTTTTCCAAGCAAAACCTTTTTTTGAAGCACCTGAGTATTTCATGATAGTATGGTAGGTAAGTCATGCTATATGCATGGACCTGCAGAAAGCTCAGTGCCGCCTGTTGATTTGAGTGGAAGTAAGGGTTCTTTGAAAAGATGCAGGTTCTCAGTTCTGAGTGGCCTACCCTACATCTATCAAAAATACATGCTTTCCAGCTACTAATTTAGCATGTGTGTTTTCAAATCTTCGATTAAATGGGAACAGCAGTAATTATACATCTTAATACAAGCAATTATCAGAGCCAGAGAGTTTAGCAGTCAGCTTACAGAAACATCAAAGTACAGGTAACCTAAGTTACCAGAAATGTGAAAACTGTTAAAAAACTCTGCACGCATGTCATGAAGAAACTTGCCTTTAGCTGTAAGTGATTAACTTAGTCATGATTGCCAGCTCATGAATAATATTAGTATCAAAATATTGGAAATCTGGTGCTGAAAAATCGACTTGCTTTGCACTAGTAATAAGGAAAGACAAAAAACCAATGAATCCTAAATCTGTGAATGCCTAAATACTTCTGATTTTAATCTTTCATGTCTTACTTATGTATAACCACGCATGTTTGGATCCATCCTGTTATTTTACATTGCAGTGTCACTTTGTGTGCTTTTTTTCCTCTCATTAAAGCTCTTAGTTTTATTTGGTGGTAGTGAATCTGTAGCCCAATTGTAAAACAATTTAGTATTTCTTCAGTGAGGAGTGCAACTTATCTTAATATATCTTTTAAAGTGTATCTTAATATATCTTTTGGAAAGAAAACTTTTAGCAACATAACCTTGTCCTTGGGGGGGAAAAAAAAAAAAAGCCATCCATCTCTGGCTTACGTCTGTGTTTGTTTGTGCAGTAAAGTAATAAATGCCATAAGTGTGGCTGGATTTGCAAAGCACGTACAGATTTCTTATGGAGAATGTTAATGTGCAAAAATGCACAACGTAACAATTTTTATAGTGCCCAAACTTGCTGTAAATCTGCATGCTTTTGTTTAAGAATTGGGGTATGTGAAGGAACTCATCACTTACTTACTCTCAGGGAAATTTAGTTCTCAAACTTTGTGTGTATGTGTAACAAGATCTCAGCTGAAATCTGTGGAGATATGAGAGCTCCCAACAATTGACAGTATAACTGTAGCAGCACTGCCTGTGTTCATATAGTGGTAATGGAGCAAGCAATAGGTCAGCCACTGGCTGCTAGGAGAGCTAACATGCTTTGCTCCTCTCTCTCTCCCTCCCTCATTGTTTCTGCCTATGTCTATCAGCAGCACATGATCTCTGCTAACTCTCCATTTTATTAGGAGTTACTGAAGAAGAGCTGTCAGGAGTTATATATGGCCTTGTTCTTCTCTTACATCTTTTCCCCAACACACAAGTTGCCTGGGTGATGACTTTTGCAAAGGGTGATACTGAGTCAGCAGCATATGACAAAAGCAGCCAACTGCATCAGGGCTGCGTTAGCAAGAGTGCAGACAGCAGGCAGAGAGGCCTCTCTCCCTTTCTGCCAGTACACATCCTGGGGCTTTGTCTGGCTTTTCAAAAGACATCAGGATACTGGAGCATGTCTGGCAAAAGACCTCCTAGGTGGTTGGGGGCCAGAGTGTGTGACAGGTGAGGAACAGCCAGGAGAATGGGGCTGCTTGGTGTGAAGAAAAGGGTCAGGGCACTTGCTGTCTTCAACTCCTCAGTGGGAGCATATGCAGAAGGTGCAGCAAGCCTCATCTAGAAGGTGCACAATGACGGCCCAAGAGGCAACAGACAGATTGCAGTGAGACAAATTCCAGTTAGATACAAAGAAAGGTGAGGAGTGAATTTCACTGTGAGGGGAATCAAACACTGGATCAGAGGCCAGATAAGGAGATGGTAGCTCTGTCTTCAACAGTACTTGGTTCAGGTGGGCACAGCCCTGATCAACCTTATGTAGCTGGCCCTGCTTTGAGCAAAAGACTAGACCAGACACTTGCAGAAGTCTCTTCTAGCATAAAGCATCCTGTGATCCTGAAGCATTCCTCCTTGGAGAACAAAAACAAGCTGCAAGTTTGTTCTTCACTGGACTGAAGAACTGGTTTCATATTATTTGGGGATGTTAATGCTGTCTGTCCCACATGCTACCACATGGTGGTGCATTGGTCACCCCTGAAGTCTTTCCTCCTGTCAACAGTTTGGTTGACCCATGTTAGGTTTTTGAAGCTGTTATATCCAAAGTGATTGTTACAGCTTGACATCCCTGCATCCATAATCTCTGTCAAATACTAATTCTGCATGTTTTCATAAATGATCTGTAAGCAGGAATCCTACTGTTCTGAATGAAAATCAGCTACTAGAATACTAGCACAATTAAGCTTTTAATTTGCACGTACTTTTAATAGCATTAAAATCAGCTCTTAGTCTTCCCATTTATCAATTTATGAATAGAAATTGGTGGAAACAATGCAAACAAGAACGGATGCTTCATTCTAACTTCAGATTTGAGGCTTTATTTAGAAAATACGCAGAGGGATTAATTTTCTAGCCCAGAATTAAAAATTAAATTTGCTCTGAAAGAAGCAATTAATGAATGCACTACAGTGAAATCTGGAGCATCTCTGATTTGCTGGTAGCTAATTGCAGGATGTTTTATTCACTCCAGCAGTTTTATTTCTAGTCAAGATGATCTTTGACATCTGTTTTGAATTGTTAATAGAGAAATAATGCATTTTTAATAACTGCAGCTCTTGCAGTAATCCCTTGCTTGCTCATTTTACAATGTTCAAAGTAGAAATAAGATGAGTTATCTTGCCTTTTTCCTATTCTAAGGGAAGTTATAGGAAGCCTAAGTGTATAACATGCTACCAGCCAGTTATTTATCTATCTGTGTTCCAGTTTGCCCATATGCCTTCTATGTCTGCTCTTTTTTATTTATTCTTGTTTGGAAGTTGAGAAAACAAAGCAAAAAGAATATCTGTAGCTTGGCTTCATTGAGTTCTTTTCTATTCCTGCTTTGCAGTATAGAGTCTTAGGAGTATCATACTCTAGTTCCGAGCTGCAGATTCCATGAGGTGCTCCACCTTTGTTAGTGACCACCCAAATACAGATTTTATGTCTGGTGTGAGAGCAAAGTAAAGGAGATGATGACTGGAAGCAGAGGCTTCAAAAAAGAAAACAACCCTGGATCTGTGTAGTATTACTTGTACATCTGTTGCTGAGCCTTTTGCTTGGTATGGCCCAGATAATTCACTGACCTTGCAGCTAGAACATGTGAAAACAAAGCCCAGAGATATAATGGCATTCAGAGAGAGTAAATTTAATCATATCTGTTTCTTTTTGAGAAGAATCATTTCCCATTTTCCAAACTCGTTTTTCTGTGTCAACAAGGTTCAGTTAGTGCTTCAGTCTATCTGTACAGGTGCTAGCTATCTTGCACTAACAGAATGCACTCGCTGTGCACCTCATAAATTGTGCACCATTTTCACATGAACTTCCTAGTTTCTTGTCTACTGACACCTTAACGTTGTAGGTTGAGGTTAGCTTGCCAGCCAGCCCTATAGAAGGCTTCCTAATCTACTGAAATTGGAGATGGGGGGGAGGGAGGCTGTTTTGTTTTTAGTGCCATGCAGCCCTAATACTACTGTAGCTGTCATCTCTTCAGCCTTTTGTGAGGCAAGTTGCTGTAGGAATAGCTCCAGACAAGAAGTTATAATGAAGAGTGCTTGTGCTTGAGAATACTCTTAAGTGTACAAGTGTATTGATATATTACAGGCAGCTACAACTGCAAGCAGATTTGCTTACCACTAATATCTAAGAATCTTTTGATGTGATGTGTTTGTTCGTGATTCTGTGATTTCCTTGTTTTGTTTTGCATGCACTTTTGACTGTCACTCATTGCTTTCCCCATCTGCTTTACTTTCCATGCTTCTAATATTTAATTAGATGCCCTTATCGTGTCCAAAGGCATCTTGAAACTAGAGATTTTTCTTTTTTTTTTTTCCCCAGTGGTACCTGTGAAAACAAACAGATAATGCAAAGGATGTTATAGTACCAAAGAAATCACATCATTTTCTTGCAGTGTCTACCTGCTTAATGTTTAATCAGCACCTCTGGGAGGTAAAAATATTGTTCTGAAAATACTTCACTGCTGTAAAATTTTAATGTGGAAGCTTTGTTTCACCAGAAAATGTTGGCTTATGTGCGACAAACCATTGTATAGAAGATGATATAAGGCTTAATGGTGCTATTTCTTTTCCCCTACCAGTGGTAGGCATTGTACCTATTTTCTTACCCTAACTGGCTAATGCAGAAGCTTAACCTGTAACGATGCCTGGCTGGCAGATGCTTTTCAATCAGTGTGCTTTGGTTTTTATCTTCTTTTCAGGAGCACTGGGGGAACTCTTGCACACTAGGCAAGGTAAATTGGGAACTTCTTGCTCAAATCCTTGAAGTAGGAAAATATCTGTTTTTCAGATAAATTTGATGCTTTTTCTGCTGATAAGCTCTATGCTGTTTGCCAGGCTTAGACAAATCATAAATATTTCTCTGTCCTTCACATGAGCATTTAAAAAGGCATCCCACGCTACCAAACAGATGCCTCAGTCATGTGGTACCTTCCCAATTAATGATTAGTCACA